TAATTAATAATAATAAAAAAAATTTGCTTCTAATTTTAGATTTCTAATTCAAATTTAACATGAAAAAAATAATTTCTATAAAATTAATTTTGAAATGCTACAAGGGCTTTTAAGTTTTAATTTTTTTTTTAATTCAGAATATCTTTATATTTTCTTTATATTTTTTTTTATTTTTATTATTATCATTTTTTATTTTTTTTTATTTTTATTATTATCATTTTTTATTTTTTTATTATAATTATAATGTTATTTTCCTTAATTTTACGATAAATATTGATAAATATTGATATTTAAAACATTATGAACATGTAATATTTAAAATATAAATAAAATTAAAAATACTTACAAAATGATATTATTCTTTGATTTATTCAATATTTAGAATTTTTTTATCCAAAGTTTTTATATAGTAAGAGACATTATTTACTGAAAACAAGAATTATATTATTATAAAATTTTATTGAAAAAAATTATAGAAATTTAATAATTTTAATAATTTAAACGTTACTATGGAAGAAAATTTTTATTCATTAGAAATTAATAATAAAAAGAAATAATATATATATATAATTATAAAAAAGTTAATCTAATATTCAACTACAAAATAATTTAACATGAATCGTTTCAACAGTTTTTACAGCTGCCATCAGAAAATCGTTTCGTGAAGAATTTATCCGGTGGTCAACAGAGACGTGTATCTTTTGCCGCAACTCTTTTGGCTGATCCAGAATTGATGATTCTGGATGAACCTACGGTAGGTGTAGATCCTGTTTTGCGACAAAATATCTGGGATCACTTACTCCACGTGACAAAGGATAAAAATAAAACCATTATAATCACCACTCATTATATCGAAGAAACAAGACAAGCTGGCATGATAGGTTTAATGAGAGGTGGTAAATTACTTGCTGAAGAATCGCCAACGAAATTAATGGAAATTCACAATTTAGATACTCTAGAAGATGTATTTTTAAAACTAAGTAAACGACAAAATATAGGTCTTCGAAGAAGAAGTAGCATCCTCAGCAGTGTTACTGGTGTTCCTCCTGAAAGTGTATGTTTTCCATTTTTATCATATTATGTTTTTTCTTAATTTTTTAATTTATTGTTTATATATATATATTTATATTTTCTTTTATAACTTTTTATTTATTTAAATTTTATTTCAATTTGCTATAATATCCGCTTTGTCAATTTTTTAAATATAAAAATTGATTTTTAAAACAATTTTTTACATAAGTTTTTAATATATTTTCTTTTTTTTCAATAAATTTTTTTAAGAACATTTTTAATTTGACATTAAAAATTCATTTAATGTTTTTTTTCAGACAAACGTAGATGATGAAATGAGTGGTGAATTTGGTGATAATATTAGTGTTTCTAGTAAAAGAAAAAGCATTGTGATCGATGAAGGAAATGTACGTTCATTTCTTTGTTTTTTTTTTTTTTTGATTATGTTTTTTTGTTTTAATTCTCTTCCATTATTTATTTATTAGTTTTTTTTTGTGGAATTTTAATTTGAACAAATGATTTAAACAGATTCCAAGTATGCCACCAGAAGAAAAAGGCACCACGAGTTTTAAGATGATCGATCCACAGCATATGAAAGCTCTTATATGGAAAAACTTTTTATGGATGTGGCGAAACGTAGCGTAAGTATAAATAAAAATAAATAAAATTTTTACAATATTAATATTTTTTCAATCAATTAATATACAAAGTATTATTTCTATTCATGGAAATTTTTGATGAACAATTTTAAAGATCAAAATAAATACAAAAGATGATACATAAAAATTAAGAATTATTTATTAAAATAGAAGCAATTTAAGTTCAAATGAAATAAACTGAAAATAAAATGTGATAGCGATGTAATGGAGGAAAAGATGTTTCACTCTCTTTCTATCATGTTTTATCTAATGCAAACTTCAATTACTAATAAATAAGTCTGATATTTTTGTATACTAAATTTTGTGTTTATTTAGACATTTTACTTTAGTATTAAGAATTCATTTCATTTTTCTTGAAAATTAGAAAATAAAATTTGAATACAAAAAAAAATTTTGAAAAAATAAATATGGAAAAAGTATTGAAAATAAAATATAAATATACATTTATCATGAAAAATATGTTCATAAATTCCAAAAATATAATATTTCACTATTAAATTGAAAATGAAATTGAATAGATTAAATATTTAATAGATAATGATTATTAGCATATGATTACTTTTAAATTATTTTTATTAATTACAAAATAATAAGTAATTTGCACTAGTATATAAAAGTAAATTAATAAAAGATAAACCATGAGGAGAGAAGAAATTTTAAACACAAAATAGACTTAATATAAAATTTGACAACTGCAATTGTTTATAATGTTTTGAAGATTCAAATTTACACAGGAAAATTATTTATATTAATTATTTTATATTAATTAAAATTGTATTACGCAAAAAATATAATTTAAAATTAGTCCTTAAAAAAATAACAATAAAATATAAGTGAAAATAGTTGTCAATTTATTTTTAATATTATATAATATTAAATAATTTTTTACCATATACGCTTTTTAATTAATAATAACGAATTTTTAATTATTTGTATCATTTCAAAAAATTATAACAAAGTATTCTAATAAATTAAATTTTATATCTATTTTTATATGTTTTTAATGAAAATTGAACGACATTCAAAAAAAAAAGAAAGAAATGTATCAATATATTTCATTTCAAATATTTATAGATCTGTTAATTTCGTAATTATATATTTATAAGCATAAATTATATTTTTTGAAATATATTCATCAAAAAGAAAATAATTTAAATATAATATTTTAAAAATTGTATTATATTTGATATTATTTTTTTTTCAGCATGATGTTATTCATTATCGGTCTGCCAGTTGTTCAAATTATTTTATTTTGCATTTCAATTGGCAGAGATCCAAAAAATTTAGAATTAGCAATAGTAAATTATGAGTTGAATAACAGTATGGAACCTTGTATACCAGCAATAGATTGTAATTGGACTCAGTTAAGTTGTCGATATTTACATCACTTAGAGGAAAGATCGATAAAATTTCTACCATATGATTATGAAAAAGATGCTAAAGAAGCTGTGAAACGAGGCAACGTATGGGGTGCTATAATTTTTCCCTGGAATTACACGGAATCTTTAGAAACAAGAATTACATATGGCAAAAATACTGATAAATGGAGTACGGAATATTCTAACATGAATATTTATATGGACATGTCTAGTGAGTTTATATATCAAAATTTAATTAAATTTTAAGAATCATTTTTTTTTTGAATTTTTTTTTCAATTTTTCTAATCTATAACTAATAAATAATAAATAATATTATATAATCAGATAAATAATGATTAATAAATATTTATATAATCAAATAAATATCTATGAAATTTCATTGAAAAGAAAAAATTTTTTTTCTTGATTCTTCTTTCTTTTTTTAGATCAACAAATTAGTCAACTTCTTCAAAGAAGTATTTATCTTTCATATGAAGCATTTGTTAAGGAATTATCAATTGCTTGCAATTATAGTGAGAAAATAGCAAAAATACCAATAGATGTAAGTGGGAAAATTTAAAAAGATATTATGATACAGTAAAAAAATTTATAAAAATATATATTTATACAGTTTAGAACACCAGTTTATGGTCCTCTGGATCCAAATTTCACCGACTTTGCGGCACCTGGTGTTATTTTAACGTAAGTATTTATCAATAAATATTTGCTCTATATTTAAAATAATATATATCTTTCTTTAAACAATCTTTTATTTTTAAAAATTTTTTTTATTCTATAAAAGTTTTTATATTGTAGAATAATTTTCTTCTTGTCGGTTGCACTGGCCTCCGGTTCCTTATTGTTAGAAAGAAATGAAGGTCTTCTTGAAAGAAGTTTAGTTTCTGGTAAATAATTTATTATGAATGAAAATGATTGAATATATCTTATAAAACTATTTGTTACAAATAGGTCTCACTGGAACAGAAATTCTTTTTGGACAAGTTATAACTCAATTTACAGTTATGACAGGCCAATCTATTATGGTTCTTTTAGTTACATTTGTTGCTTTCGATATCACTAATGAAGGAAACATTGGTTGGATTGGTACATTGACTATTCTTACTGGATTATGTGGAATGTGTTTTGGTATGAATCATTTTAATAATAATAATTATCATTATTCATTAATTTAATTAAGTTTAATTTTTAGGATCTGTTATTGCTTGTTGTTGTGAAAGCGAAAGAACCGCTACATATCTTGCAATGGGTGCTTTTCTACCTATTGTAATGTTATGTGGAATAATATGGCCTATTGAAGGAATGGATCATGGATTACGATGGTTTAGTTTTATCTTACCTCTTACAAAGAGTACAGCTTCATTGAGAGCTATGTTAGCTAGAGGATGGTCAATTTCAGAGCCTACCGTTTACAATGGTTTTATTGCTACATTTATTTGGATAATCATTTTTATGACTTTGTCTATATTATTACTTAAATTTAAAAAAGGATAAAAACTTTTATTATATAAAGTATAAATCAAATGATGCATTAGATATTATATGAATGAAAATATTTTACGAAATTTATTAACATATAATAAAATTATACATATTGCGAGAAGAATATATAAAAATATGCTGAAGATGTAACACATTCTTTTTGCTCAATATGATTATTATTGAAAATGTGAATATATTATATATTTTTATAATATAATTATAAGTAGGATTCAAAGTAAATATAAAATTAGATTAATAATATTTTTATAAAAATTGAATCATTGATATAGAATAATCATACCAATGATCTCTTCCTTTATAAATTATAATAAATTTTGTTCATATTTTTTTATATTATATAATGAATTGTTATTCTTATATATTATTTTATTCTTATATAAATATATTTTATAATATAAAAAAATGTACATACAATCAAACATAAAAAATAAAAATATACAATAAAAAAATTTATAAATTTTAATTGTATTGAAAAAATTTCACATAATTCATTAAACACTATAATCATTATATGTAATATTTTATGCAAATTTATATTTCATTTATTTTCATTATTTTATGGATTTTGAAGGACGTAAAAATTGTTCATGCAATGTTTTATGGATTCTTTCTGCTTTTTGTAATCCAATACCAGGACAAAGAGCTAGTGTATTTGATTGTGTTTTTATTAATTCACTTAATGTTCCAAAAGTTGATAAAAGGGTTGTGGCATCTGTTTTATTAACTGATCGAATTGTTGTCAAAGCATTAACTAACTGAAAAAAAACATAATTATAATAAAATAAAATAAAAAAGTCTTGATATACTGTTATTAATATATTATATATATACTTTTTGATATGGTGCTGTCTCACTTCGATCCATAATTGCATCAGGTGGTTTATTTTCATAAATTTTATATGTTTCAATAATTTTTCCTGCATCTTCTGGATTCCATGCTAACATTAATGTCAAATCTGCTAAAATACAAATCCTTGTTAAATGTTTTAAAGCATGATGAGGTTCTGGCACATCTACCTATATTTTATTAATGTATATAATATAATTATATATTTATTATTACATATAATAATAATAATTAAAATGAATTAAAATGAACCTGTACTAAAAGTACTCTTAAATTATACATGTTTCCTAAGGTCTTCAAACGTTCATGGATATAGTCAGGATTAAGTTGATGATAACGTATTGATAAAAAAAGAGCACAAGTAGCTTTTCCCATAACATAATCTGGTATAATTTCAGAATATTCCCAAGGGACATTATTTACAAATTTCAATAATGGATTACCTTTCTATAAAATTAAATAATATCAAAAAAAAATTATTAAATAACAAAAAAAATTTATGTATATGTATCTTACTTGTTTTAAACTGACTAACAATGAACTAAATTTTGAAGAATCTTTGGCTTTAGAAGGACCAGGTATAGCTTCATTAAAAAATTCTGATTTTCTTAATTCGCTAAATGCAGCTATGTAAAATATTAATATTTAATACATTCAAAATTAAAAATTTATATATTAAATTTAAATTAAAAAAAAATATAATATAATATAAAATATGATATAAAATAACTCACATTGAAAAGTGGAATCAATTTTAATTTGTTTAGGTGGAGAGACTTTTTCTTCAATTTTATCTGTGTTTTCCATACTTAATACTTATTTATTTCTACTTCCTAAATTATCCTTATAACCTAAAATTCTTTAAGATTATATCATATATATAACAATATTATTAAATTAATTTTAATGTATTAAATATCAAATTTATAACATTAGAATAATCTTTTATTTTATGAATTTTCATTTTTAAAATAGTCTTTTATATATAATTTTTTATATATATTATGATATTAAAATAATTAAAAATTAATAAGTTATTTACAAAATTAGCAAATAAAAACAAACATAATATATGTATAGGTTATTATTCTAATAAATGAAATGATTAAATAATAATAACAAATAACAAGTTATTAACAATCAAATTTTATCTTATACATTTCTTAATAACATTTTGATAAATAAATTATATATGCCAATGAAATAAAATAATTATTATAAATAATTATGAATTTATTAAAATGTCATCGCTATTATAAATATTATAAATTATATATATTATTTATAAAATTTTCATAATGATGATGAAATCTTCATTAAAAATATACAATTATTATACCTTTACTAAAAAAAAAAATTAATAATATATAGTATCTTTTATTTTTCTATTGGTAACACTGTCAATTGATAATATTTGATAACATATGTAGGTATTAATTTCACATATTTTTTTATCAACTGGATTATTATTTTGACTATATTTGACTATATTTTTGTTAGAAATAAAATGGGATAAATGTTCACGTATATTTTAGAATTGAGAAGATTCACTAATAACAAATCTTTGTAGATATAATAAAATATTAATATATATTCATTAAATCTAACCTAAAATTTTTAAATGAACAAGGAAACGTCAGAGATTAAAAATGCTAAACATCCTCCTTGGAAGGATGTTGGCATATCAGATCCACGAGCACGATTGAAATCTCTTTCTGACTATGCTTCCACTGTGGAGATGGATCGTAACATTCCACCACAAAGGTAAAATTATATATCCTATATACCATATATTAAAAAACGAATTTAAATAAATCTAATATTATTAATTTTAATTTATTTAAATTTTCTTAGATATTACCGTTCTGGTGTAGAAATGATTAGAATGGCAGATATGTGTATGAAAGATAATAATCTTGAATATGCATATTTTTTATATGTCAAATTTATAACGTAAGATATATACATATATATAGTTTTAACATATAATACAATATATAATTTATTATATTTTATATAATATTATATATAATTATTATATAATTATATATAGTTGTTATATTTTAAAACATTAAAAATATTTAAAATATATTAATATATTTAAAAATATATTATCACAGAATTTTTGTTGAAAAAATAAGAAATCATCCACAATTTGATACAGTACCATTAAAGGATAAGGAACATAATCAACAAACATTACGGAAAGTACTTCCCAAGGCTGAGGAGTTAAAGAAACAATTATTAGAACAATATCAAACAGAGTTAAATAAATATATGGAAGATGTAAAAGAAAGAGAAAAAATTGAAAAGGAACGACAAAAACGAGAAGAACTAGAAAAGTATTTCATAATATTTTAGAAATTGTATAATATTTAAATAATATATATATATCATAATATTTATGTACATATAATATTTGTTTAGATTGAGGGAAGAAGAAGAAAGGAAGAACAAATTAGCTGCACTAGCAGCTGTTAAAGCAGCAAAAGCTGCTTTAACTGTGACCATTGAAGATGACAAATCTAAAAAAATACCCACTATATTATCAAAACCAATAGTAACTCCATCTATTGATATAACTGCACAAACATCAAAAGAAAAGTAAGTATAATATAAAAAAAAAGTACTAAATTATAGCAATTTATAAAAAATATTAAGTTATAAATTTATATTTTTTACTAGACCTATTATAGATCGCTCAACAAAACCTTCTTTGCTTTGTGATACTTTCACTTTAAGAGATATAATACTGCCAACTAAATTAATGCATAACTTTCTCATGTTGGCTTTCACTAATACCATGAATAATAAAGAAACTTGTGGTATACTAGCAGGCAAATTAGAAAAAAATAGATTACTAGTTACTCATTTATTAATTCCTGAACAAACTGGATCTCCAGATTCTTGTGTAACACATAATGAAGAAGATATATTTGATTATCAAGATCAACATAATTTGATTACTCTTGGTTGGATACATGTATGTATTTTTAAATTGTATTATTTAAAATCATTATTTAAGTTAAAAACTAAATTATATGTCTATTGTATAAATTGTATTCCAAATAGAAAAGATAATTATATTTCACAGACACATCCTACACAGACTGCATTTCTGTCTAGTGTAGATCTTCATACACATTGTGCATATCAACTTATGATGGCTGAAGCAATTGCAATTGTTTGTGCTCCTAAATATGATGAGTAAGTAAAACAGGTTCAAAAAAATATAAAAAATAAAAGAATAAATTTTTCTTAATTCAAAAATAATTTTTTATTTTAGAACAGGATTCTTCATTTTAACTCCAGAATATGGATTAGAATTTATTGCAAATTGCAGAGAAACTGGATTTCATCCACATCCAACTGATCCACCACTATATACAGTAATTATATATTATATATTTGTATAAATATTATACACATTTAAAACTATTTCTTTTTCAGAAAGCAAAACATTGTAAATTGGACGTAACAGCAGTTATAGAAGTAGTGGATTTAAGAAGAAAATGACATCTTTTAGATATGTATACACATATTTTCACATGTGTATACTTTAAAATGTGCAATTAATGTAAAACAAGTTATATGTATATTTAATTATCAAATACGTTATATCAAGTAAAAAAAGTGAAAAATTGCAAACACTTTAGCTTAAATAGCATAAAGATTTAGCAGTTGCAAAGCTTTCAATATTTTTATGATAAAGTATTTAAAGAAATCTTTAATATATTTAAAGTAAAATTATGCATTTAAAATCGGTAGAATGAAATTAGTTAATCGCAATTAATATAATGCAATATTTAAATGATAAATTATAGTAGATTAAAAAGAAGAATTTTTATATAATTTAAGAGATTTAAACAATTAATATCTAGAAATTATTTTGACTGAAACTAAACATTATCATTAAATAATAGTATTAAAATTTTCATTTCATGAGCATTGAAAATTTTCAACCTCTTGTAATGAAAATAAAAAATTTGTTTACATATATAATTTATATGAAAATAGAATATTTATAATAACGAGATATAAATGTGCTTCTATTACTTTTTCATACTATTTATATTTATTGATCAGGTAATATGTTACACTATGCGCCAGAAAATAAATGTACAACAAAAATTTTTATAAATATTAATGGTGCGCAAAATCTGTGTATAAGTTTACGTGCCTTTCATGGAAAAATAATGGTGTTCATAACCTCATGCTAATCATATGAAGTATGTTCCGCGTTTAATAATTGTAGATACTGTACGACATTGTCAAATAACATTAATTATGATCAAATGAATCAATGGAATCGTATCATTACGTAAAATCGTAATCGAAAAATCAATAAATGCATTGACATACTGTACTAGTCATAATTTAATACATGGCTTATTATGAAATATATTGATACTTTGAAATCAATATACCAATTTTGTGTGATGCTTCTTTGTATGTATTCTATTAGAATGCTGTATTTAAAAATTGTACAGTTCTAATAGATATTGTGTTAAATATTGATATAAAAGGTTTGTACTAGTAGGTACCTGAGATAATTTTTGTGTACTTAAAGGTTAAATTACATATTTACATACTGTTTATGAGACTGTACTATTTACTTTCTCATAAATATACAATATTTTGTATATAAATAATTATTCATTCCTTATTAAATGTAATTATTCAGTTTATAAATATTTAAATTGCCAAATCGTGATCAAACACGTGCTATACATTGAGGGACGTAAATGCTAATTAAAAGAATTAATTCTAATTATAGAAGATAATTTATAACACTGGCCTATGTTCGTACCAAAAAATATTTATGATTACTACATACACATTCAAATATTATAATTATAATAAATAATTAAATGTTAATAAAAAATGTATATATTTCGCAAGAAAAAAATAAATTATAAATTAATAATATAAATATAAATAAAATAATATAATAAATATATTATTTTTTATTCTTTATTATAATCAGATTTCTTAACAATAAAATAAATTTTTATCAAGCCTTATAATTCGTCTATACTTTTTACGTGCATTAAAAACATCTACTGAAAACAATTATTTATTGTTGAGAATATAATAAAACGAAATTATTTACTATAGAAAGAAAAAATAAAAGAAAATTATTCATAATCAGGATTCTAAATGAGAATCCATTATAGGTATATACCAATACCTCGTGAGAATTCATTGTAGATATATACTAATATCTCGTGAGAATCCATTGTAGATATACTAATACTTCTTTTCATTCACCTCTCCTCATGTATATCGAATTACTTATATTGAAGGGTTTCGCGCTTTACAGGTTTTATCGACGGCAGAGTCAATCTATTTTTATATAGCTTATATATTCTTCATTTTAACGTTTACAGACCTGATATAAACGCATATTCTTTTTATGCATGCTTCTTTATTTATGAAAATTTTAGTTCTTTGTACTATTTCTTGATCATTTTTTAGCATTTATTGATATATTAATATAATGTTAAAATATTTATTCAATAATAAAATTTATTTGGAATATTAATAATATTCAATAATAATTATAAGTTATTTTTGAAAATATTTATCAAAATTGTATGGACAAAATGTAAAATCTTATATTTTATTTGTGTTATAAGATAATAAATAATGTAACTTTCATTTTAAAATATTTTCTTGATAGCATTGTTGAAATATTTATAACATTATTATTAATTATGCAGAAATATTAAATATGTAGTTATTTTTGTATAATTTTTAAAAAATAAAATGAAAAATTATTAAATAGCAGATTGATTTTTTCTAAATACAAAATTTTAAAAAACATTAATCATTGATATTTAATCTTTATATATATATATATATATATATATATATTTAATATTTAATATTGTATTTTATAATTGTATATCTAATTAAAAATATATACATTAATATAATGATAAACTATTTTTGTTTGATTATGCATATAAATATTAAGTATATAATAACTATGTATTGAAATTTAATATTTCTATAATCTGAGAATAATTATAAAATAAATAAAAATTTAAAAATAAAAGCTAAAAAAATTACTCTCAGTAATAAGAAAAACGCAATTTCCTTTTGAGAAGCGAAATAAACCACAAACATTTATTTTTATTTTGCATTCTCAATCTTATCCATCACATGTTTAGAATAAAAAATCTCATAATTCAATCCATGAAATCATTTATAATTTTAGATATAACGTTCAAAAAAATAAACTAAGTACATTTAATTTCAATATATATATTTTAAATTTTCTTTTAAAAAAATTATAATATCGTAATATTTAATATAAATAAAATAAATATAATATATTCTATATTAAAAATATTGATTACTATTCGATAATTATTTTTCTTATAAATTCTGTTTTATATAGATACAATCAAATTTCGAAAATAATTAAGAGATATAAAAAAAATATTCAAATAAAAATGAAAAGATTCATAATATAAATATTTTTTTTACCGGTAAAAAAATATGAGAGATTTCAAGATGAAATGGAATATTATATATTTTTATATATAGCATAATAGTGTTAAAATGAATCCAACTCATTCTTACAAAACTATTTCATTTAATAATATATTATGAAATTGTTGGAAAATTAAACAATATAACCATACCTCATTTTATATAACCTCATTTTCAGATAATTACTATTTCAGATAATACTATTTCATTGTATTATTTTTGAAAATGAACTTATTTATTTATTGTTTGACAATAACATAAGTCTATTAATAGGAACATAGAAATAGTTTACGAATTTTCTATAAAATTTCAATTTAATATAAGTTTTTAAATTAAAAAAAATTAAGAAATTAGTTGAAATTATTTATATTTAGATTTATATGCATATATAATTTGCTTTATGATAATTGCACACATATCTTACAAAATTGCCGCTATTTTACGAAACAATATAGTTAATCACTATATATATAAATAATTCTTCAATTATTCAAAAGATTAAGAAAATAAATTTTAAGATTTGAAGATTTCTTTTAAAGATTAATTTAATTGATAATTTAATAAATGCATGATCACTTTATTTTGAATCATTTATTTTTCTTAAAAATCGCTTAGTTGGAAAAATCTTTCAGCAAGAAAAGATTTATCAACATATGAACATATAATCAACATATAAACATATTTTCAACATTATCAACATATAAACGAAAAAAAAATATAAACAAATATGCAATAGCTGCTTACCTTTCAAATTTATTTAATAATGTATAAAATAAGTAAGTAAAATATTATGATACGTATATTTCTTCTGTTTTTAATCTTCTTGTTATTGTCGAATATTGATTAGATACAAATTGAATAGTGAAAATTTCAATATACGTAAAACTATTTCACGAATATGAGAAGCTAATATATTTTAATTGTTAGAAATTAATGTTAGAAATTAATATATAATTATCTAATAATAGCTAATATTCATTGAGAATTCAATTATTATATAATAAAAATTCTCAAATAATGCGATAAACTTAAAAGTTGGAAAAATGACAGATATATTTATAATCTGTATATAATAAATATTATAATAATGAGTGCAAGTTATATAAAAGAATACACAGGTCGATATAATGAAGTTTGAGTAACTGTACAATGTCTGAGATTTTCGAAATTTTTTTTGTTATATTCTATACATGTATAATTTAATATTTTATATTTTTTATTATAAATAATGTTTTAAAGTAGCATAATTAAAATAGTTAAATTAGATAGTTGAAATTTTCAAAATTATATTAACAATACATTAATAAATTATTATATAATATATTAAAATTATTGACTATTTAGAATCAATTTGCAATTATAGATAAAAACAGAGCAAAGAACCTAAATAAATCTAAACCGAAATATTTATTATTAGAATATAATCCTTAAAAAGGAAAAAATTTGTTCTTCAAAATAATNATATATATATATATATATGCATAAATTTATAAGTGAATTATTTATAAATAATTTAAATAATCAATTTGGCTTATCCGAATAGTTTGAGTAGATTTCGAATTTTGGTGATCAGTAATATATATTTGCATCATCAATTTTATTAGGCAATTATATTATTTATGATAAATTATATATATATATATATATATATATATGATAAATTTAATAAAATATCGTAAATTGTCAAAATAAATTTTATATTTTATATTTTTTTATGTTTATATATTTGCTTTTTATCTTAACTCAATTAATATTTAATTTAAACTCAATGCAAACTCAAAATAGTTAAGTCGAAAATAAGCTAAAAAAAATTCAAAAAGATGTCACTATTGTTGATGCAAAATTGTCCTTTATAATTTTAATCCTAACCTACTTTAGTAAATAATTTCAAATGGTTATATTAAAATTTCTTATTTTTTAAGACTACATTTATAATACACAAATAATAACTTTTTAAAATAACTGATAAATAGATATTATTGATACTACTATTTTATTTTTTTTTGCTTTACATTATTTTAGCCCTCTCTTTGGTTGCTATTATGCTGTCACTGTTATACTTACTATACCTACTTCTCCAGTCGCATAGAACGTACAGTAGTATGCAGTTTCTTTCAAGGGAAAGAACAACTCAACAGTGTAGTGGAAGTTAATTTATGCAGAAATTTTAATTTAAATTTAAAATTATTAATGCATTAAACAATATGGAATAAAATAATGTTTTAAAGTAATATAAATATGTGTAAATCAATAAATTAAAATATTTCAAAATTTATTTATCATGTATTTTATTTTTATTTTATTATTAAAAATATACTTCAAATACAATTAAGGTGATTATAGTATAAATATTTCTATTGTGAACATAATATAAATAATATAACATAAATAATTTTGTTGTAATTATAGTGATATTTAAAATTTGTTTATTTTTTAAATTCATTTTTAAAAATTTCAAGCATTTTAAGATTAGATACTTATCTATTATGATCATTTTTTTTTTTTGATAATAAAATGATAATAATTGCTGGTGCTCAATTAATCGATCAAAAAGTGTTAATTCTTTAAAAATTAATACATATTAAAGAAATGTAATATGTTAAGATTTTAGCAGTTTATTAAAATAATGTATAAAACATAATTGAGAATTCAAAAATGAATAACAAGTGAAATAATTTGTGTATATTTTTTTCTTCTATCTTAAAAGAAATAACAATTGTTGGGATGTTGCAATTACATAAATTATCGGTATAATCATCGAATTGTGAATCTATAACAAATTATACGATGATTATTCTTCGAGTTTTATCGTTTGCCCTTATTTCCCGATTCTCTCTTAAATGCATAACGATTCTTCACTAAACGACTACAAATAGAGAAAAAGTGGAACATTCTACTTTCACATTCGATGTAGGTATGAATTTTTAAATAGTATATTATATATTGAAAAATAAATTAATATATCGTTATATATGGATTATTTTATCGATCAGAATTTTTTATGATTGTAATTTCTGTGTTTTATTTCATCAAAATTAATAAAATGATTATGATTGTGAAATATAAACGTTTCATCATAAAATGATATATTCAAAATACGTGACTAACAATTATATTCTATTGCTTTGATTATTTAACATGTAATAAAAAAAATAACATACTAATTGGACACTGTAATTATCGACATCATTATCAAATAATTCTGCATGTAATTATAATTATTTTTTTATTTATTTTTTTTATTAATATAAAATATGCTAATATATAATAATAATATATTAATATAATATATACTAATATATAAATAATAAAAAGAAATAAATATAGAATAAAAAACAGATCAAAGACTAAACAAATAATAATAAATTATTTTTGTTATTTTGAAATGAATATTTTTTCTATTTTTCTTATTAAATATTTATCAAATATTTATAGTTAATAGTTTTTCATTATATTTATATATATTCAGAAATTATTAAAATTCATATTATACTTTTTGTGAATCACTAATTCTATAAATTTCTTCATTTATAAATAATTTCTAAGAAAATACTGCATTTTAATTTTAATTTTATAAATAATCAAAAAATTGTAAATCATTTAAAAATATTTCTTATTTTCTTTTCAATATATTCTATTATGCGTAATATACCATTATGCGTAATAAGATAAGAATTTCAGTAATTCATAAAGCTAGCGAAGGAAATTTATTTCTGAGAAATAATCTCTGTTAAAAAAAACTTCTATATTTTTGATATAATAATATGTTATGGAAGAGAATTTGAATCAACAGATTTCTTGCGCATACAGCATACTGATTTTGTTACTATATTTTTGTAATGTAGCGTCATATTTTTTGGTTTTTATTTTTAATGACATATTTTAATGACAATCTTTTTAATATACATATATAAGATTTTTTTATTCTTAAAAAATACAATGGAGTAATGTATGAACATAAAGTAAAAGTAAATATTCATTGATGTATTGACATTATATAAATAATATAGCGATTTTCTTTAACATTGTAACATTTTTCTTACATGAAAAATAAAATATATAAATATAAATACGTATTATAAATATTATTATGAATGGTTAGTTAATTATATAAATCATATTAATCATATTAATCAAATGAAATAAAGTTTATTTTATTAATTTCTTTAAATAAATTTTTCAAATATTATTATTAAAATATAGGTAATAAATATTGTATTATGAGAAGTATACATCATGTTGTAAATTATTTATATATAAGTATAAATAATAATTGATTTTTTTTTATTTATTCATGGATAGCAAATACTCTGAAGTTCAAGGAGAAAAAAAATTAATAGCAGGTAAGTAACTCAATTGATATAGTAGTAATCTTACAAACGGGAACTGAGCGGTCAAATCTATTTTTGTTAAATTTTATTATTTAAATTTTTTCTTTTTTATGTTTCTTAAAAATATAATATTTACAAGATATGCTACTTTGAAACAAAAATATTCATATAAAAATATATTTATAGATGGCGTTACCTTATAGATAATTATAAAATTTGATATAGATAATTAAAGAATTAGTCTGATAGAGATATATAAGACAAATAAAAAATAAAAGATAGATAGAGATAGAGATATAATAACAAATAAAAAATTTTTTTTTAACACAAATTTTTGGCTTACAAAAATATATAATTCATATAAAATTCATAGTTTTGTTTTAAATATTGTTATTATCAATTATATTATCATAAGTCATTAATTGTTATATATTATTAAATCATATAAATATTTAATAAAAAATTTCTGATTACATTGAAAAATCACTTATTCTTAAGTAAGTAAATTAATGAATTTTAATTATATTTTTAAAAATTTAAAACTTATTTTATTTATTATATACACATATTTCGAATTCGAAATATTAAGATAAGATTTATATTATATAAAAAGAAATATATTTTGAAACATTATTATTAAATTTAATATTTATTTTGTATTTTATTTTATATTTATTTTTAAAATTGATTATATTTTTAGATTTAAAAAAAAATTTTAAAAGAAAACTATAAATAAATATAAACATAAAAAAAAACTATTCTAATATAAATATATTTAAAATATGCCAAATACACACACACACATACACACACACAAAATATTTAAAATTATAATTTACAATTACTATGTAATTAATTTTTTTTATAATCGAAATAATCACATTTAATAGAAATATTTAGAAATTGATATTGATTATTTATTTATCTTATTATTTATTTAATTAATTAATTAATTAGATATATTTAATCAAAATATTGAAGTCACTATTAATACTATTAAAATGCTATCGTACAATTAAAAATATATTTGTTTGTCTAGTTTATCTAAGATAACAGATAAAATATATAATAGTAAATGGTGGGGTTCTAAAATTGATAATTGTAATCAATTTGATTTCAGATTCGATTCTGTCATAGAAATTAAGACTTGGGAAGCAATAATAGTTAAGAAAGTGTGTGCAAAAACGCAACAGTTTAGAATTCGAAAGACAAAAAGTAGAAATAGCAGGACAAAGAAAAAAATGTTTCAGTTGTCGGTAACCTTTGTTTTGATGATTTTGTTTGGTAAGATTGAAGTACTATGATATTTTTATGATATATCAATGATTAAATGAAACATTTGTTTAAATGTGATACTCTAGCTACAGATAGTGATCTTTTCAATATTTTAAATAATCGAATTAACAATAGATTTATCAAATAATGTAAAAATAAAAATATATAAACTTTTTTTATTTTTAAAATCAGAAATATAATATTTTTAGTTTTACGTAAAACAATGTTTGAAATGTTAAAAATGTTAAAACAATGTTAAAAATGTGTAATTGATAAATATTTACATGTTCTTAATTTTTCTTTATATATATACTTTTATAATAGAATTAAGAGTGATTATTTTTATGATTTATTATTATTAGTTGGTAAAGTGTCTTCACTTCCACAAGATGAACAAGAAAATAATATGAATATTGCAATAAACTTAAACAAAATGACTAATATTTTAAATAAAACGATTAAATCTTCAATGAAGACTATAGAAAATAAAAAGGGTAAGTAGAAATAACTTTCTTAATAATTTTTCGCAATTTGATTAAAATATGTAGGATCAATATTCTTATATAATTTACACTTAATGATAAATAAATTATTGCTATATTTATGAATATTTTATTATTTTTATTTTAAAGAGATTTTTATTATATTTTATTTTTTATATAGAAAAAATAAACGAAAACAATAACTTTATATTAAAAAATTCAATCAATACAGTTGTAAACACGATTGAAATAAAAAAAATAAAAAATGAAATACAAAATTCTACTTCTACAAAAGAACAACATGACATGCCTAATTATAATGCGACACCACATGATGACGATGAAGATGACAACATTCAATTATTAAATTTTACAGGTTTTTATTATAATTATATGAAATTTAAATAAAATTACAAAGTTAAAAAACGATTTATATTATTTGTATTATATATTATTTATATTTTTTTTATAAGAATCTATGATAACAACTGCGGATATTACGAACATTAATGAAACACATCACTCCATAAATAATAATAATTCAGGTATAAAAATATATTTTATCGCAATAAATTATTTTGTAAAAATAATGCAATCATATAGTATTACATAATTAAAAATTAATTGCAATTATTTATTTTAAGCATTATTTTAAATAGAATATATATTTTATTATAATAGACACAAGTACAGATTTAAAACATATTACTAATACTAATGAAGCATCGACTGATTTTATATCGCCATTGCTAGTAGATAAAGTTGTTGCAAATATAGGCTCCGAAGATATTGTTGAGGCTATAAAATCTGTCAATCATACAAACAAACATATGTCTTCAGGAATTATAGCGTTAGTTACCGCAATCAGTTTTGCTGTAGCAATTGCATTGGTATATATTGGTATGATCGTTTGGAGGCGATATATTGAGTAAGTATAAAATTTATTATTGTTTTTATTATATATATATTAATACTATAAATTATTTTATTTAATATTTATATATTTTAGATATCGATATGGACATCGGGAATTACTTGTTAATGAATTAGAATTTGATACTAATGATTTGCGACATTTTGAGGTATGTTAAATAAATATTTAATAGATTAAATATATAATAATTTCATTTTATGTTTTTTATTTTATGTTATAGCTGTGATTTAACAAATGTAATAGTTTGTAGAGAAGAAAAAATAATAATAATAATTCATAGCTAAGGCTGATAATAGAACTATGAAGATTTATTGATCTGTGATACTAGACATTGTCAAACAGTCAAGACACCAAATATATTTGGATAATATTGTATATTTCTTAATATAAATGTTTTATATATATTATGAATCTATTTTTTCAATTCGTTGATCGTTTTTTCTTTGTCCTATAGAAATTAAAATAATGTTTTGTTAAATAATATAATATTATAAGTATCAATTAAATGTTTTATAAAAAAATTAAAGATATTAGAATAATATCTACCAATTTTTTTTAAATTAATGTAACCAATAATCTTCATCTTTTTACAATATTTAAAGTTGTTAAAAATGTAATAAATTAAATCTTTATAAGATATTGTTATCATTTTTCCATTTGTTTTTATATTGTATAAGATGGATGTATAATATAATATAATATAATATAAATATTTTTATTATATAAATATTTTAATCAATTAGTGAATTATTTTTTTAATAATATTTTTATTTTTAAACAATTTAATTAAAATAAAATAATATAATATTTATCTATATAAAACAATGCAATAACTTTATTACATTTATTGGATATTTTTGGAGAGTGGTTCTAAAAATCAAAATAAACACTAAAATTAATATAAGAGAATGTCAACTTATTTATAAGTTATAAATAATTTAGATTTGAATTAAAAATTAAAATGAAATGAGAGTAAAATGAGATATCTCTATTATCTGACTTGTCTTTCACTTCATTTAATACAAATTTCAATTATTTATAAATTTATTTACATATAATAAATAAATTTCAATTGACATTTTATATATTTTTATATATATACATTTTATATATTTTTATTTATTTTGACTTTTAAATCTTTCTTAAATATATTTAAAAAATATATTAATATACTCATAATTATATAATCATATATGACTTAAGTTACATTTATAAGAATAAATATTTATTTATAAATTAATAACAAGTAACAAATGCGTATTTTGCATCTTGTACTTAACATTATTCTTTTATTCATTTTGAATATTTATCTACAATATTTAATGCATTTTTTTATAAGACACCTACATTTTTGTTTGCAGAAATAGTTTTTTTCTTGTTATTAATCAGATTGAGAATACATACAATAACATTTATGTATGGATTGGCACACATTAATCTTTCTTTCTTGTAATTACAAGAGGACCCACATTATCATTCATTTCTTGATTATGATGTCCGTGAGCACCATCACAGTATGGCCACTGATATAATAAAAATTATTATAAATATTAATCACAATTTTTATCTGTTAAATTTTATTAAATTAATATTTTTATATGCATATATTAATATTTTTTATATGCATATAATTCATATATAAATAAATCATATAATTACATAATATCTATTTATATGACTCATAAAATTATTTTTGAATATTTGAAATATAATTAATTCAAATAAATCAAATACAAAAACTTAATAAATAAGAATTCTTATAAAAAATATATAAACTTACATTTTTAGATCTCCAGCAACGACAAAATGCAGCTTTTTCAGTAATATCTTCTATATCAATTGAATCTACTACTTTATTTACATCTTTTTTTACATTGAGATTCACAAGTCCACATGGCTGTAATGTATATAGATAAAAGATAGATGACATAATTAAATAATTATTCAATACAAGAAATTCTTTGTAAATTATGTATATTGTAAATATAAATTTATGGATTCATACAAAAGATAATAACATTTATATATAAAGAAAATAGAAATGAAAATATAAATATCTGAAGCAATATTATTACATAATCAAAAAAGAATAAAATATAAGCTAATATTTAATCATGATGTCCTTGATATTCTATAATAATAATAGACAAGTATATTATACTTACTGGTCTAGCTAATGGACAAAATGCTTTATATGACATGTAACCAATACCTGCTACTAATGCGGTAGGTGGAATTAAGGTAATCCAATCTCGTACTAAATGAAAATGAAAAAAAAATTCATAAACTCATACTTATAAAATTGATATAGAAAAAGTGGTACAGTAGTAATTTCCAATGTCATGATTAAAATTTATTTCTAAAAAATATTCAATATGATTCTACTAAATTATTAAATATATTATAATTATATTACTTAATTTCTTACTTCCAAGTCGAAACCATCCTCCTATAGAATCTGGAATAGGTAATCCAGCTAAATAATTTGGAAGAGTTACCTTAACAAGATGTGCTATTGGCATCATGATTGCTACTACTATAGTCAATTTACAATTTCAAATGCTACTTGTGCTTTGTATTTGAACGATGATTATTTTTTTCAAATTTACAAAGATAAATATGTAAATTAAAAATACTTTTATATACATTTATATAATATATTTTAAATACAATATATAATATATTACATTTTTAAATACTTTATCTATATAAAATTATTATAATATTAAATAAAATAACAAATTATTTAAAATTTGAAATACTTAAATGTAATACTATATTTTTCTATATCTGATTCTTCAATATCTATCACTTTTATTTCTATTTAATTATTTCTATTTAATTATTTTTAATTATAATATATATAATAATACATCGCATTGTGTACATATTAGATCATAAACTCTTTAAATCTATAAAAATTTAAAAAAATTTTTTTAAATTTATTTAATTTTTAAAATTATTATAAAATATATTATTATAAAATAATACAATAAAAAGTATTCATATTATATGTATATTTTTTAAATAAAAAATATATATAAATACTTACATATATTTTCAATTCTATTATTGCCGGTAAATTTTGATTAACGTAGTGAGAGAGGTGAAGGACCGGTGGGGTTTGTGAGATGCCTTGTAAGTGGCGCCATCCAGTCGCGAGGCGTTCGCCGGGCAGAGTGGAGGTGGTTACGTTGTCCGTAAGGATATGTGGTCGGTTATCGCGACGCCGTCGCGGTTCGCGCAGGCACAGGTACGAAGTGCGCGCGTTTTCGAGGCGGTATCACGAAAAGCGCAGGAGTGGCGTTTCTACGTATCGTTCCGATATTATTGTTATAGTTCATCATTGATGTACAGTGGGTAATAGAAGGTTCGTAAATCGGCAAAAAGAGAGGAAAGACGAGAAGAAAAGAAAGAGATAGAGCGCGGTTCTATCGCGCGGTGCAGTGTGAAGTGTTCGCGAAGGAGGCTTTTGCTTCTTCTTGTGTGTGCATGTATGTGCGTGTGCTACAGCAAAAGCACATAAGAACGTAACTAGTGACATACGGAAAAAGGAGAGAGAGAGAAAAAGACGAATAAACACGGGTCGCCGGATAATCCTTGTGTATGGTGTGCGGGTTTCGTGAATGTGCGTCAAATGACAGTGAGGTGATCAATGTGCTCGAAACATGGCTGAGGAGCTAGTGGTCACCCTGAACCGCGGCGACTCGTCCGGATTCGGGTTTTCACTCCTTGGTACCGCGGGTTTGCCGCACGTCATCTACGACATCGTTGAGAATTCGCCGGCAGCAAAGAGCGGCAAGGTAAGTATTTGCTTCGATCGTATTTTCTATATATTTGTGATTGTTTATTGCGTATCACAAATAGAGAGAGAAGTTTGAAAACATTTAAAGATGGAATTAGGGAAAGAACAACCCCAAGTCCTTATACACATATTACGTGCTTATCGAAAATCCTGCGAAGAAGGCTCCTCAAAATAACGCCCGGTGTATATCGACCCATGTTATTATCGCGAGCACCCTCTGTCGCCCTGTCTGTTTCTTGATCTTTGATTATTTTTTATTTTCACATTTTATAAATCGTATTGCTAATGCTTTTTGTATTAGATTGTAACATATGAAACATTTATTAAATATCTTATGTTCTCTATCAGGAACAATCTTAAGATTGATATAATATCGTTCAGGATTGGAAAGTTATAGTAAACTGAGGTAAGAGAAGTTGACATCATTTCTGAAAACAATATTTATATATGCGTGTAAGCTATATCCTATGAGATAGAATGAGATAAAGCGATAGAGCTTTGTTTTAGCAAAGCGAAATGGAGATGCGAATATTATACTGATTCGGAAAATATATGTATATATATATATATATTATTTATTTGCAGTATGATTTATATAAAATTAAATGTCATATGCTCTTTCATTTTGTGCATTTTTATTTTTTTTATTTTATTTGAAATATTGCAAATCTCTTTGCAACGATATAAATATATGAAATTCGAATTCTTTTCCCTTTTATTCTATAATTAAAAATTATGATAATATTAACATAAATTTAAATAAGATTATATTATTATTAAAAAATTATTATTATTTTGTATCGGTTTCCTAAAATCTCTTGTAGCGATATTAATTTTAAAAATAAAAAATAAAAATCTTGAAAGATTTTATAAAATTCATAAATAATAGGAAAATTATCGTTGATAATTTTAATCGAATTTAGTCGAAAAAAATAATATTATATTTCATATTTTAGTTAATATATGTATATTACACCCATGGATGGTGCGGGGATGCTGATTGGTTGGGTGGGATCGGTTTAACGGCCACATTCCAGCCTGTCGGTCGGTCCCTCTGTTCGTATGCTCTTTCTCCTTTCCTTTTTCCCTTCTCTTTACATCTATCTTTATTTTTCTTTTTCTCTTTTCTGTTTCCTGGGGAAGGTATTTCTTCTCGATGATTATATGAATCGGAAAATTTAAATCAAGAAAAATGGGTCTTTTATTTATTCCTGTGAACTTTATTTGATATCGTTTTTTAAATGATTTCTCATATTTTCAAATAATCTGAAATATTTTCAGTTAATATTATAATCGCTATAACGAAATTAACTTATTTTATATAGATAGTAAATTATAGCATCAATTTATAGCATCATGTTTAATTTTCCAATATTTTTTATTTATATTTATTATATATATTTTATTTTTTATTTTTTAAATTTTGAATATTTCAGTAATTTATCATATCTTTATTATAAAAATGTCAATATTAACATTAAAGGAAATATATTATTTTTATAAATAATACATAATCAAATTTTTTAATAAAAAATTCAAATCAAATAGTATTATAGATTGATTTCAAATTATTAACTAATTTGCATATTTCAAATATGTCATTATATATTTTTTTACGATTAATAATTTTTTTCGTAGTATCTCATATTTTTTTATAAATCGAATTTTATTCTTTCTCTCTTCTTTTTTTATTTTTCCTTTTTTTATTTTTTGATTTTAACATAAAATAGATCGATTGCTTCGTTTGGTTTACCAACATTGGTGAAAGATGTGAATTTTGAATAGCAGATACAAAATTAGATTAAGAAAAGATTAACCATCATTATGTGGATTTCACAACGAATTCATAAACCATAATGGCGGTTGTAATATCGTATGTAATATCGTAAATAAAAAGAACCATAAAAAACAAATTTAATGATTATTATAAATGATGTATTTTTTTTTTAATTATGAAACAAGTCAATGTGAAACATTTTCTTGAAATTTTAACAAATTTCTTCAAAAATTGAATTATTTCCTTCTTTTTTAATTTTATGAATAGACATTTATAGATTAGTTTTATATGAGTGCATATGTATATTTCTACGTGTGGTACATTCAAGCAATCAAAGCGAATGTCTCAAAAAGAGCAGAGCGCGCATGCGCATAACTTTTTGTATTCCGCATAACTGTCATTCGCAAGAAGAATGCGTATAACAAAAGAGTAGTCATTACGCGTGATTGGAATGTTACTATATGTATATATTATTCCTTTTTCCTTTTTTCCTTTTTTCCATTTTTTTTTTTTTTTTGGAATTTTTAAAGTTCTATTAAGTAAAGTGATGTAACTAAAATATATATATTATTCATGTGATTATTACTATATTTATGATATTAATTCTAGATTATAGTAATATATATTATAAATATGTGTTATACTTTTCATAAGTATGATGGACTTTGGATATCTTTTTAAAAAAATTCTTTATATAAATATGGCAATGATGAATTGCAACTTAAAATAGGTTAGATAACATTACTTATTATGGAGATATGAAAATATTTTTTACTTCGATACGAAATACAAATATATGAAAGAATATAAATTCGTAAAAGTCAGAATTAGAAATAATTCGTAAAAGTCAGAATTAGAAATAAAATCATTTAAAAAAAATAAATAAATATCATTCATTATTGTTATTATTATCATTCATTATTGTTACTGGACTGTTACCAATGGATATTTTTCATAGAAGAAAAAAATAAATATTTTCATATTAGTATAAAATACTAACAATATTATTTATATATATAATATTATTTATATAAAACAAAATAAAAATTGGATTTGCCATCATCATTTTAATGATTTCTTAATTCATATTGGTATTTTTTCTGCAGAAAGTTGGAAATATTTTATCGGATTTATTTCGTCGGGCATAGTGAGAATGTAAAAACGAAATTGACGAATTGAATTATTTGTTTTTAATTAAAATATACTGTCATAAATACCGTCGTGAATCTCGGAAGCAAATTAAATCACAAGATTCATTGTTTAATTATTACAAAAAGCATATATATTTAATATTTCTCGAAACTGTATGCGATAGTATTTGTAAAATTGTTTTCTTGTAGAAAACAACATCAGAACAAGGTTAGGACAGTTGCCATTTAATAAGTCATTGACAAATTTCACGCTTAACATATTGTACCGGTTATTATTTTTATATAGGAATTAATAACTGCAATATTAAACTTGATGAAGAAAAAAAATGCAAATAAAATGCAAAGAAATAATGAAGTATTAAATATTTAAAAAATATTGAAATATATGAAATATTAAATATAAATATTTTTACAAGGAAAGAAAATGTTATATATATACAATAATTTGGAATATCAAAGTATTTAAAAAATTTAATATTAATTTTAGTATTACTTAATTTATAATATCGTAAATAATTGAATTAATTAACTAACATTTGTAGATAATTTTGATATTTCCAATGTATATATATAGCAATACTCAAATAAAAAAAGAATTGAATTTTAATTTTTTAAAATTTTCCAGTAAGTATTCAATCGTTGCAATCATAGTTAACGATATTAAAACAACTTTAAAATAATTTATTTAATCAATTCGCTTATACATTAATTTTATGATTTCATATTAATTTTGTAATTATTTTAAGATTATGAAATATTATATAAAATTTTAGATTTTAATATTATATTTAATATGTTAATTCGGAATATTGAAGATGAATGTAATTTGAAATATTCTATATAAAATTTATTAAAAAGATTATTATGTATCTCTTCTCACAATGTGAATTATTAATTAATTAATAAATAAAAATAAGAAAAGTGAATACAATGGATACAAATTGTTTCATGTATCAAATATGATATGGAAATGCAATAGTATGAATATGCAATTTAAGATTTCCAAAGTTACTTCTGATTATTGTATATAAATTTCAAGACTTAAAATTAATATTTATTTAAGATGATTATTTTTATACTGATTTTTTATTTTATCTGATTAGATTATAAAAAAAAATAATTTTAACATTATTATTTTTTTAATACTATAAAATAAAAATTGGAATACTGCTATTTTAAATTATGTATATTGTAACAAAATTATTACTTAATTTTTCAATTAAGATAGATCAAAGTTTCAGATATTATTATTTGATATATAAAAGTTTATTATATTATATTATATTTATTATTTTATTTTATTATTTTATTTTATTATATTATATTATATTATAGTTTTCCTATATTATTCATTTTCATCTTCTGTAATTTTTTATTTATCTTAAAGAAACAGATATTTTAAATATGCTGCATTTCTTCCATTAATTTTGAATTTATTTTATTCATGTTAATTTTTTTTTTAATATATTGAATTTTAAAAAGTTTAAAAAATTTCAGTATTACGTAAAATTTTAATTTCGTTATTTATATACTTTATTAATAGAAATTTTTAAATTAATTATTAAATAATTTTTTATATTATAATCAATTTTAATTTTTATTTTCTATAGATATTAATATTTATTGATATTTCTTGAAGAGAAGAATTTCTTTTTCTTTTTACTTTCTAGAAACTTCAGTATATGTTTTATTTAATATTTCTTTTTTTTTTTTGTTATTCAGAAATGAAAAAAATTGAAAATCAATTAAAAAAAATTATTTTTTTTAATACTAACTCTATATTTTTAAATACTAACAACTAATGATTCAATAAATTCGATGGCTATTGTTTAAAGGTACTTATCGCTATTTTTTATTGAAATAATGTAAGTTTTTAACACATTTTGAATATGAATGATTTCTGTGTTAAGAATTTTAGATATTCAATTAATCAATTCACATAAAATTATAAATTTTATTAATGTCTACAATTTTTCAGTAATTTTAATTTTTCTTCATTAAAATCAGAGAAAATTTTCAAAAATCAGTATATACTTACTATATTTTATAAACATAAATAAAATTTTATAT